GTGGAGTCCAGGGCCTAGCTGCAGTTGGAACCGCCCTGCACGTAACTCCAGCTCTGGTCCCAAATGGCCCGGCGTTGCAGCCCTCGCACGACTCCATAACCCCGTCGGCGTCGCCATCGTAGTTCCACTCCGTCATGCAGTTGCAGGAGCCGCATCGCGCCACTTTCGCGTCTCGCCCAGCACGGTGGAGTTCAGGGCTGGTTGCTATTGGAACCCCGTGGCACGTTAGCACCAGCTCTGGTCACAGTCCGCTGTGGCGCTGTGCAGCCCTCGTACGACTCCATAACCCCGTCGGCATCGCCATCGTAGTTCCATTCCGTCATGCAGTTGCAGGAGCCGCACTCGCGCCACTTGCGCGTCTCGCCGGCCACGGTGGAGTTCAGGGCCTGGTTGCAGTTGGAACCGCCCTGCACGTAGCACCAGCTCTGGTCCCAGTCCGCCGTGGCGCTGCAGCCCTCGTACGACTCATTAGCCCCGTCGGCATCGCCATCGTAGTTCCACTCCGTCATGCAGTTGCAGGAGCCGCACTCGCGCCACTTGCGCGTCTCGCCGGCCACGGTGGAGTTCAGGGCCTGGTTGCAATTGGAACCGCCCTGCACGTAGCACCACGTCTGGTTCCAGTCGGCCGTGGCGCTGCATCCCTCGTACGACTCCATAACCCCATCGACATCGCCATCGTAGGTCCACTCCGTCATGCAGTCGCAGTCGCCGCCTATCACGCAACTGACCAATGCCGCGCAAAGGACGACTGTCAGCTCCATGACGATTTGTTTGGCCATCGGTGCCCGCGCGCCTCTGGGGATTGTAGATTAAATCGCGAGAACAGAGTCGCAATTTTTCTACTGAGCCAAAATTTGCTCGAGACGCAATGTCCACCGAGGCTTCTGTGTACGCGTTCCGAACTACCATGTTCCTCATCAAGTTCCCCTTCACGTCCCCCCTCCTACTTCCACTCCTCCTCGTCCTGCTTGTCCTGCATGTCCTCCCGCTCTCCTCCCCATCCTCTCAATGATCACACTCATCCTCATCCTCATCCTCCTCGTTGTCCTCTTCATCATGCTCCTCCAATGTTCCAAGGCCACCCGATGACGGCCTCACGGCAACTGGAAAAAAAACAGGAGGCAGGACGTCCTTGCGTCAACCGAAGACAACCACAGAACAACCACGTGACAGTGTGATGCCAATGTGAACGCTGCTCAAACCGTCGCTACACCATAACGTGTCGCATCGTTCGATTGGCAACCGTGCGCGGCTTGCTGACAGGGCCTCCCAACAGCAAGCGAAGCATGTTAAGGCATTCGTTTTCTACCTCCTGCTCCTCATCCTCCTCCTTCTCCCCAGAGGAAACGAAGTGTCACACATTGCAGCCTACTCGTCGCCACCCAAAGAGCTGAGCTCTACAGCGGCGGAAATTGCCACAGGTAGCTGGATAACAATGTAGCAAAACCGCAGCGACGGTCGTCGTCGTCGCCGTCGGCGCCGGGAGACCGGTGCCGGAGTTCCGACGAACCCTCCTGAAACCTTCCAGAGGAAGGTTTTAGGAAGGTTTTTTGGAAGGTTTCCCCGGGGGGGGGGGGGCGAGGGAGGTTTCAGGAAGGTTTTTTCGAAGAACCTTCCAAAAACCATCCAACAACCTTCCGAAAACCTTCCAACAACCTTCCAACAAACCATCCAACAACCTTCCAAAAACCTTCCAAACACCTTCCTGAAATAAGCGAAGCCGCCCAATGCACTGCAAAAACCTGTTCAACCACCTTCCAAAACAACCTACCAACAACTGACCAAAAACGCTAAATAAATAAGAAAAAAAAACGTCCAAACAAACCTTCCAAACACCTTCCAAAAACCTTCCCACAAACCTTCCAAGAACATTCCTATCTTGGGAGGAAAACAAAAAACACACACACACACTTCCTGAAAACCTTTCTAAAACCTCCCACAGGAAGGTTCCAGGAAGGGTTGGCACAAAAACCTTCCAAACACCTTCTTGAGGAAGGTTTTGGGAAGGTTTGTTTTGGAAGGTTTTGGGAACAACCTTCCTGGAACCTTCGTAAAACCTTCCTCTGGAAAGTGTTTGGAAGGTTTTTGGAAACAAAAGCCTTCCTGAAACCTTCCTAAAACCTTCCTTTGGAAGGTTTTTGGACGGTTTGTGGAAAAAAAATCCTGAAACCTTCCTAAAACCTTCCCCTGGAAAGTGTTGAAGGTTTTTGGGACAAAAAACCTTCCTGAAACCTTCCTAAAGCCTTCCTCAGGAATGATGTTGTAAGGTTTTTGTAAGGTTCTTTTGGACCACAAGCATCCACCACATGCTTCCGAACATCCAAGCCTCAAGCATCCACCACATGCTTCCGAACATCAAACCTCAAGTTGGACTGAGTCGCAACCATCGCGCTACTGATTCCGATACTTCAACCATAAGTTACATTGAAGTGGAAGCATCGCACAACTGATCGAGATAATTCAACCTTAAAACCAATTGTGTTGATTAGGATCGTCGCATAATCCTTCTCGGCATTTCCCAATTAATAAACCTTGAGTTCGAACCATCGCACACGTGATTCCGATATTTCAACCACGTGTCACATTGAGTTAAAACTATCGCACAACTGATCCCGATACCCCGACCATACATTCAGTTGAAGTCCAACCATCCCCACATAGTTCCGATAATTCAATCATAAGTGGGACTGAATTACAAGCATCGTACAAATTATTCCGAAATCAACCATGAGTTAAATTGGCATGGAACCATCGCGAAAATCGTCCCGATAATTCAGCCATCAGTTAATTCGTGTTGATTAGAACCATCGCGCAAATCATTCCGATATTTTAACCATGAGTGAAGTCTGAGTTCGAACCATCGCACACATGATGCCGATGATTCAATCACAGGTTACGTTGAGTGAGAAACATCGCCCAATTTACCCTGATGACTCATCCATCGGTTCAGCACCAACAATCCCCAACATGCTTCCGAAAATTCAAGTATAAGCTAGCCTGAATTGAAAACTCCGCTTTTGTAAAAGCAGAACCTGTGCCGCACCGGACCCCCCCCCCCCGGCGGCCAGTCGGAACTGCAATAGGCGCCCGGGGGTCTGTCTTAGAACCCCAGAATGCCCTCCCCGAGACCCTGAGGCTTGTGGGAGGCTCCTGCGAGGCTTCTGCGAGGCTTCTGAAGAAGCGAAACCACACCATGAAAGCACCTGTTCTTCTAAGGACCTTCTCCTGCGGGCGCCTGTGAGGCTTCTGAGAGGCCTCTGCGAGGCTTCTGCGAGGCTCCTGAAGAAGCAAGCGAAACCACACCATGAAAGCACCTGCTCTTCTAGGGACCCTCTTCTGCGGCGTCGAACCCCCTGCCCGGGGGCCCCTTGAAACCTCCGCGGGCGCCCGCGGGCACCCGCTGGAGCCCCCTGGCGCCCTCTTCCCCCTTGTCTTAAAAAGGTTAGGGCCTCAGGATTCGGATCTCATGGCAGGGATCTCGGGGTCAGAGTTCGGCGGGGGACACACCTCCCTTTAACAAACCTCCTTCCCCTTGTCGTAAAGGTTAGGGCCTTAGGGTTCGGATCCTATGGCAAGGGTCGGCGGGGTCAGGGTTCGGCGGGGGACAAGCCTCCCTTCAGCAAACATCCCCTTAGGGAAACGGCCCATTCCTTGATCAACGTGTCGGGGTAGGAGGTATATCCACCTCCGAAGGGTCTTAGGGGTTGTGTTTTTGAAATGGGGTCTTAGGGGTGGGGCGAGCGGGCGAGAGTTGCAGGTTTAGGGCATGAGGCGCATGGCCGTAGGACTAGCCCGCGAGGGCTGGGGCCTCGGAGTAGGGCTTAGAGTTTGATAGTTGGGGCATTCAGGCTGGGGTCATCATCATCATCACCACCACCATCAGCGAAATGACCATCACAATCAGCAATCATCAGCATCGGTTTCATCATCAATCGCACAGCCGTCGTCACCAGAGTCGTCATCCGCACCAGAATCATCAGTGCCATGATAATCAGCATCACTATCATCATCCGTGCCAGCATGACCTCCAACACCACCCACAGCATCACCATCACCACCACCACCACCACCACCACCATCATCATCATCAGCATCAGCATCATCATCATCATCATCATCATCATCATCATCATCATCATCAGCATCATCTTCATCTTCATCTTCATCTTCATCCGCATCATCATTACCATCATCATAAGCATCAGCATCGTCAACCTCATCATCATTGTCACGGTCGCCACACTGACAATCAGCATCCTCCGCATCATTTTCAGCATCATCACGTGCCATGGCATGCTTGCGGCTCGCAGGCGCTTAAACAGTTGAAACGTCTTTGCAACGTGTGTCTGAAGCGTCGCTGCGCAGAGTACTGCGCTGGCTCGAGGGCCGTTGCGTCGTCGGGCTTTGTAGCAGCTCGAGAGATACCCCCCGACGTGCTGACCCACTCCGCACCTTATGAATGCGCGTTGCATGCTGGCGGGCATGGCATCGGTAGAATGAAGAAGATGGAGAGGATGAGGAGGGAGCAAAGAGGAAACGGGGTAAGAGAAAAAACGAGGGGCAAAGGATGAGGAGCAGCAGGCAACGAGTCAAACAATAAAGCGGCCAGTCCAGATAACACAAATCCACACGTGGGCCTCACGCGGGCTGCAAAGCTCGCGGCGCAGCTGCGTCACAGCAAGTTCGCGGCGCAGCTGCGCCACAGCAAAGTCAAAATGAAAACCTTGACCTGGTTCGAAGCTACGAGCCTCGAGAAAGACTCCCTGGATCCTCCTCCCCCCCGTCACCCTCCCCAAAGATCTCAAGCAAAGTTGGGAGGAAACATGGGAAGCGGCTGTTGGAACACTGTCAATGAGGAAGGAGACACTGGGCAGCATGAGCGGACCCTCCCGTCAGAACAAAACTATGTCCAGCTCAAACTATAATCCCATGGTCAAGTACTAGATGGCCGCCATGATCCGTCCCAATCTCTGCGCCAGAATAATCTCTGCGCCCTAGCCTCACGCACAGGCGGTCGAAAGAATAATCGCGAAGATGGCGGCGGTCATGGTCGGCTCTCCAACGCCTGAGGCACTCTCGATGTCTGGTGCTGGCGTCGGTGAAAGGGTCGACGGGGTGCACTCGAGCCACTTGCGCGTCTCGCCGACCACGGTGGAGTCCAAGGCCTGGTCACAGTTGGAGCCGCCCTGCACGTAGCACCACGTCTGGTTCCAGTCGGCGGTGGCACTGCAGCCCTCGTACGACTCCATAACCCCGTCGGCATCGCCATCGTAGTTCCACTCCGTCATGCAGTTGCAGGAGCCGCACTCGCGCCACTTGCGCGTCTCGCTGGCCACGGTGGAGTCCAGGGCCTGGTTGCAGTTGGAACCGCCCTGGACGTAGCACCAACTCTGGTTCCAGTCGGCCGTGGCGCTGCAGCCCTCGTACGCTTCCATAACCCCGTCGGCATCGCCATCGTAGTTCCACTCCGTCATGCAGTTGCAGGAGCCGCACTCGCGCCACTTACGCGTCTCGCCGACCACGGTGGAGTTCAGGTACTGGTTGCAATTGGAACCGCCCTGCACGTAGCACCAGCTCTGGTCCCAGTCCGCCGTGGCGCTGCAGCCCTCGTAGGACTCCATAACCCCGTCGGCATCGCCATCGTAGTTCCACTCCGTCATGCAGTTGCAGGAGCCGCACTCGCGCCACTTGCGCGTCTCGCCGGCCACGGTGGAGTTCAGGGTACTGGTTGCAATTGGAACCGCCCTGCACGTAGCACCAACTCTGGTCCCAGTCGGCCGTGGCGCTGCAGCCCTCGTACGACTCCATAACCCCGTCGGCATCGCCATCGTAGTTCCACTCCGTCATGCAATTGCAGGAGCCGCACTCGCGCCACTTGCGCGTCTCGCCGGCCACGGTGGAGTCCATGGCCTGGTTGCAATTGGAACCGCCCTGCACGTAGCACCAACTCTGGTCCCAATCGGCCGTGGCGCTGCAGCCCTCGTACGACTCCATAACCCCGTCGGCATCGCCATCGTAGTTCCACTCCGTCATGCAGTTGCAGGAGCCGCACTCGCGCCACTTGCGCGTCTCGCCTGGCCACGGTGGAGTCCAGGGCCTGGTTGCAGTTGGAACCGCCCTGCACGTAGCACCAGCTCTGGTCCCAGTCCGCCGTGGCGCTGCAGCCCTCGTACGCTCCATAACCCCGTCGGCATCGCCATCGTAGTTCCACTCCGTCATGCAGTTGCAGGAGCCGCACTCGCGCCAGTTCCACTCCCCACACGTAGCACCAGCTCTGGTCCCAGGCAGCCCTCCGCATAACTCGCGTAGCGTCATGCAGTTGCAGGAGCCGCACTCGCGCCACTTGCGTCTCGCCAGCCACGGTGGAGTCCAGGGCCTGGTTGCAATTGGAACCGCCCTGCACGTAGCACCAGCTCTGGTCCCAATCCGCCGTGGCGCTGCAGCCCTCGTACGACTCCATAACCCCGTCGGCATCGCCATCGTAGTTCCACTCCGTCATGCAGTTGCAGGAGCCGCACTCGCGCCACTTTGCGCGTCTCGCCGGCCACGGTGGAGTTCAGCACTGGTTGCAGTTGGAAACCGCCCTGCACGTAGCACCAGCTCTGGTCCCAGTCGCCGTGCGCGCAGCCCTCGTACGACTCCATAACCCCGTCGGCATCGCCATCGTAGTTCCACTCCGTCATGCAGTTGCAGGAGCCGCACTCGCGCCACTTGCGCGTCTCGCCGGCCACGGTGGAGTTCAGGGCCTGGTTGCAGTTGGAACCGCCCTGCACGTAGCACCAGCTCTGGTCCCAGTCCGCCGTGGCGCTGCAGCCTCGTACGACTCCATAACCCCGTCGGCATCGCCATCGTAGTTCCACTCCGTCATGCAGTTGCAGGAGCCGCACTCGCGCCACTTACGCGTCTCGCCGCCACGGTGGAATTCAGGTACTGGTTGCAATTGGAGCCGCCCTGCAGTAGCACCAGCTCTGGTCCCAGTCCGCCGTGGCGCTGCAGCCTTTGCGAGTCGGCATCGCCATCGGAGTTCCACTCCGTCATGCAGTTGCAGGGCCGCACTCGCGCCACTTGCGCGTCTCGTCGGCCACGGTGGAGTCCAGGGCCTGGTTGCAGTTGGAACCGCCCTGGACGTAGCACCAGCTCTGGTCCCAGTCGGCCGTGGCGCTGCATCCCTCGTACGCTTCCATAACCCCGTCGGCATCGCCATCGTAGTTCCACTCCGTCATGCAGTTGCAGGAGCCGCACTCGCGCCACTTGCGCGTCTCGCCGACCACGGTGGAGTTCAGGTACTGGTTGCAATTGGAACCGCCCTGCACGTAGCACCAACTCTGGTCCCAGTCGGCCGTGGCGCTGCAGCCCTCGTACGACTCCATAACCCCGTCGGCATCGCCATCGTAGTTCCACTCCGTCATGCAATTGCAGGAGCCGCACTCGCGCCACTTGCGCGTCTCGCCGGCACGGTGGAGTCCAGGGCCTGGTTGCAGTTGGAACCGCCCTGCACGTAGCACCAGCTCTGGTCCCAGTCGGCCGTGGCGCTGCAGCCCTCGTACGACTCCATAACCCCGTCGGCATCGCCATCGTAGTTCCACTCCGTCATGCAGTTGCAGGAGCCGCACTCGCGCCACTTGCGCGTCTCGCCAGCCACGGTGGAGTTCAGGGCCTGGTTGCAATTGGAACCGCCCTGCACGTAGCACCAGCTCTGGTCCCAGTCCGCCGTGGCGCTGCAGCCCTCGTACGACTCCATAACCCCGTCGGCATCGCCATCGTAGTTCCACTCCGTCATGCAGTTGCAGGAGCCGCACTCGCGCCACTTGCGCGTCTCGCCGGCCACGGTGGAGTTCAGGGCCTGGTTGCAGTTGGAACCGCCCTGCACGTAGCACCAGCTCTGGTCCCAGTCCGCCGTGGCGCTGCAGCCCTCGTACGACTCATTAGCCCCGTCGGCATCGCCATCGTAGTTCCACTCCATCATGCAGTTGCAGGAGCCGCACTCGCGCCACTTGCGCGTCTCGCCGGCCACGGTGGAGTTCAGGGCCTGGTTGCAATTGGAACCGCCCTGCACATAGCACCACGTCTGGTTCCAGTCGGCCGTGGCGCTGCATCCCTCGTACGACTCCATAACCCCATCGACATCGCCATCGTAGGTCCACTCCGTCATGCAGTCGCAGTCGCCGCCTATCACGCAACTGACCAATGCCGCGCAAAGGACGACTGTCAGCTTCATGACGATTTGTTTGGCCATCGGTGCCCGCGCGCCTCTGGGGATTGTAGATTAAATCGCGAGAACAGGGTCGCAATTTTTTCTACTGAGCCAAACTTTGCTCGAGACGCAATGTCCACCGAGGCTTCTGTGTACGCGTTCCGAACTACCATGTTCCTCATCAAGTTCCCCTTCACGTCCCCCCTCCTACTTCCACTCCTCCTCGTCCTGCTTGTCCTGCTTGTCCTCCCGCTCTCCTCCCCATCCTCTCAATGATCACACTCATCCTCATCCTCATCCTCCTCGTCGTCCTCTTCATCATGCTCCTCCAATGTTCCAAGGCCACCCGATGACGGCCTCACGGCAACTGGAAAAAAAACAGGAGGCAGGACGTCCTTGCTTCAACCGAAGACAACCACAGAACAACCACGTGACAGTGTGATGCCAATGTGAACGTTGCTCAAACCGTCGCTACACCATAACGTGTCGCATCGTTCGATTGGCAACCGTGCGCGGCTTGCTGACAGGGCCTCCCAACAGCAAGCGAAGCATGTTAAGGCATTCGTTTTCTACCTCCTGCTCCTCATCCTCCTCCTTCTCCCCAGAGGAAACGAAGTGTCACACATTGCAGCCTACTCGTCGCCACCCAAAGAGCTGAGCTCTACAGCGGCGGGAATTGCCACAGGCAGCTGGATAACAATGTAGCAAAACCGCAGCGACGGTCGTCGTCGTCGCCGTCGGCGCCGGGAGACCGGTGCCGGAGTTCCGACGAACCCTCCTGAAACCTTCCAGAGGAAGGTTTTAGGAAGGTTTTTTGGAAGGTTTCCCCGGGGGGGGGGCGAGGGAGGTTTCAGGAAGGTTTTTTCGAAGAACCTTCCAAAAACCATCCAAAAACCTTCCGAAAACCTTCCAACAACCTTCCAACAAACCATTCAACAAACTTCCAAAAACCTTCCAAACACCTTCCTGAAATAAGCGAAGCCGCCCAATACACTGAAAAAACCTGTTCAAACACCTTCCAAAACAACCTACCAAAAACTGACCCAAAACGCTAAATAAATAAAAAAATATATATATATATATATAATATATATATAGATAGATATGTATATATATATATATATATATGTGTATATACATACAATATATTAGATGTGTATATATATATATATATATATATATATTATTTTTTTTTTTCATATATATATATATATAAACAAAAACCAGAAAAAAAAAAAAAAAAAAAAAAAAAAAAAAAAAAAAAAAAAAAAAAAAAAAAAAAAAAAAAAAAAAAAAAAAAAAAAAAAAAAAAAAAAAAAAAAAAAAAAAAAAAAACGTCCAACCAAACCTTCCCAACACCTTCCAAAAAAACTTCCCACAAACCTTCCAAGAACTTTCCTACCTTGGGAGGAACACACACACACACACTTCCTGAAAACCTTTTTCTAAAACCTCCCACATGAAGGTTCCATGAAGGGTTGGCACAAAAACCTTCCAAACACCTTCTTGAGGGAGGTTTTGGGAAGGTTTGTTTTGGAAGGTCTTGGGAACAACCTTCCTGGAACCTTCGTAAAACCTTCCTCTGGAAAGTGTTTGGAAGGTTTTTGGAAACAAAAGCCTTCCTGAAACCTTCCCAAAACCTTCCTTTGGAAGGTTTTTGGACGGTTTGTGGAAAAAAAATCCTGAAACCTTCCTAAAACCTTCCTCTGGAAAGTGTTTGGAAGGTTTTTGGGACAAAAAACCTTCCTGAAACCTTCCTAAAGCCTTCCTCAGGAATGATGTTGTAAGGTTTTTGTAAGGTTCTTTTGGGAAAACCTTCCTGGAGCCCTAAACCTTCCCCAGAAAAAAAAATATGACAGTTTTGGGAAACAGACTCCTTCTTGAAACCTTCCTAAAACCTTCGGAAGGTTTTATGGCAGGCTTTTTGGAAACAGTACCTTCCTGAAACCTTCCTGAAGACGGTTTCCGGAAGCTGTTTGGAAGGTTTTTGGAACAACCTTCCTGGAACCTTTTTTAAAAAACCTTCCTCTGAATAGGTTTTAAGAAGGTTCTACGAACAAAAAGCCTTTTTCTTAAAAAAATCCAAACGCCTTCCTGAAGAAGGTGATTGGAAAAGGTTTACCATTATTCCTCTTTCCTGGTTCCTTGCCGCTCCATCCCTCCTCCCGTCTTCATTGTTCTCCGGATCTCCTTTCCCCTTTTACGTGTGGGGTCGCTCTTTCCGCAGTCCGAGCTCAATGCCAGACCGTCGGTTCTTTCTGCGTGCCCCGTGTTTGTTTTGCGGAAGTTGCTGCGACTGAGGGCGGACAGCGCGACGCGTGCACCGTGGCGCGGGATGCCTTGCTGGCCCACCTGGGTCTTCCACGCCCACAGCGCAATCTCCAGCCGCAAGTTCCCTCCTGGGCAACGACAGCCCTCACCGAGGACGCAGCTGCACTCGCGCCACAGCTTGTATACCTATACCCAATACGACCATTTTTCGCGTGATAATGAGGTTGTCCTTGGGGGGGACCTACGTCTCACTCAATCGATCTCGCCGCGCATGCCGAAATCTTTCAACGAACCACCACCACGCCACCACCAAACCACCACCACCACAACCCACCACCACCACCACCACCACACACCACCACCGCACCACCATCACACCACCACCACCACCCAACACCACAACCACCCCCACCACCACGACAAACCACCACACCACTACCACCACAACCACCACCACCGCCATCACCGCCACCGCCACCACCACCACCACAACCCACCACCACCACCGTCGTCCTCGTCGACGCTGCCCGCCGCCGCCGCCTGCCGCCCCAGGCGCCGGCGCCGGCCCAGAAAAAAAAATCGTCGCCCCCGCCGCCGCCGCCGCCAGACGAGGAGAGGGAGAGAGGAGAAGTAGGGGTGGGGGGCGGGGAATCCTGTTCTAACCCCGCGCCCCCCCTCCAAACGACCACAAAACGCGCTCTTTCGCATGCAAAGATGCACGCATGGAAAAGCTTGTCCTTCTATTCGGTGTTCTCCTTCTCCTCCCTCTGTCCGGGCTCCGCCCCTGCCATCACTCGGGATCCTTACTCCTTGTGCGCACCATCTCGGCATTCGATGCTCGCTCGTCTTCGTCCCCGCCCGTTTCCTCGCCCTTCCCCCCCTCATCCCTTCGCGCAATCATCCTGCTCATCCTTCTCTCCGTTTCTTCCTCGTCCTCTCGATTCTTTTCCTGGATCTTCCGTCATTCCTCCTCAACCTCCTCCTGATTCCCTCTTTCTTTTTCTTCCTCTTGCTTCGTGTCGCACCTGACCCCGTCCCTGGAGGCACCCAGACAGCAACGCACGTGTCAATCCGAAATGGCATGTCAAATTCCCCCTGAAACAGTGTCTGTGCATTCCGAAATCACACTGCGTCGTGCACATTTTTTCCAGGTGTCCTCTGAAAGAGCCGCCCCGACAACCTCAATAATGGCGCGCAACACATGGACATGTAATCCCACCGGCCCTCTGAGCCCTCTAATCCCCCATGGACATGTATCCCACATGGATGATTTGGTTTCTTCTTTTGTCTGAAGCCTCTCCTTGCCCTGTTCGGGGGAAGGAGTGTACTCCTCACCCTAATGCCTCCCATGGTTGTTTTGTTGTTCGGGGGGGGCCCCTATGGGCATGGACCCCACCAGCCCTACGGGTTTAGGTGGTGTAGCGCGCTTTGTTCCCCACATCCTACATGGGGTTCTTGTTTTCTCTGGACACCCTCCGCGCAGGATCCCCTCACCCCCCTCTCTCTCTTATTATCCTCTTTCTTTTCCTCTCTCTGGCCGTCATCATCATCAGCCATCATCATCATCATCATCAGCACCATCATCATCCTGGTCATCAGTACCATCATCACTCCAGCACCCCTTTCACCCACCATCATCATCATGATAACCACCCATCGTCACGAATCATCGTCATCATCGTCGTCGTCACCATCATCATAATCATCGCACTCATTCACAGTCACACCATTATAACCCTCGTCATCAACAACATCATAATACTACGACCTATCATCATCACTACCATCCTCATCCTCATCAACACCAGCATCATCACTCTGTCACTCATCATCATCATCACCACTCATCATCATCATCATCAACATCATCCTCATCACCACTCGCTCACTCATCTCTTCGTCATTACTCATTCCCTAGTGTGAATATGGAGGACGCCTAGAGCGGGAGCCTCGTCTGTGAATGAATTGTGACGAAGTCTCAGGCGGGACCCCCTTCCATATGGGTCCCGCACTTCACGTTGGTAATCCGAGCGGGTCATCCTCAAACTTGTAAGAATCGTCACTTTTGGGCTCCTGAAGCGTGAACTTGGAGGAAGTACCAAGCGGGTGCCGCGTCTGTGGGTGAATTCTGAAGAAGTCTCAGGCGGGAGTCCCCTCTCCCTATGGGGGCCGCATTCATGTTGGTAATCCGAACGGGTCATCCTCAAACACGTAACTGTCGTCACTTTTAGGCTCCTGAGGCCTGAATATGAAAGTATGGGGCGGAAGCCACGTCTGTGCGCGAATTGCGAGGAAGTCTCAGGCGGGAACCTCTTCCCTAGGGGGCCGGCACTTCACGTTGGTCATCCGAGCGGGTCATCCTCGAACACGTAACTGTCGTCACTTTTGGGCTCTTGAAGCTCGAACATGGGGGAAGTATCAGGCGGGGGCCTTGTCCGTGAGTGAATTGCAGGGAAGTCTCAGGCGGGGCCCCTTCCCTATGGGGCCCCCACCTCACGTTGGTAATCCGAGCGGGTCATCTTCAAACGTGTAACTGTCGTCACTTTTGGGCTCCTGAGGCTTGAATATGGGGGAAGTATCAGGCGGGAGCCTCGGCTGTGAGCGACTTGCGAGGAAGTCTCAGGCGGGGGGGCCCTCCCTATGGGGCCCGCACTTCATGTTCGAATCCGCGGCGGGACATCGGATTCTTGCAGCTGTCGTCACTTTGGGGCTCTTCAGGCCTGAGTGTGGAGGAAGTATCAAGCGGGAGCCTCGTCTGTGAGTGAGTGGCG